GCGTTTAGCCAAGAGCATGCAATTGGTTCTGCGGCATCAATGTCAGGGGTGGACATCGGACCTGACTGGAAGTTGCAAGCAGACTAATAGTGAATTTTTCCTGCAAGGAAGTTTTGGCTGTAATTTCTAGTGATAATGTCCCTTTGTCTGCTACTGGGTGGTTTCCTAGGAGGCAGTAATTGTGCATTGCCATCACCACTGAGCCACCAAATCATGGATGAAATGGCTGACAAGGACATCATGCCATTTTATTCTGGGGTGGGGAAAAAAGGCAATAATCATTAATGAATCCACATACAAAGAGGCACACAATTGTGTACACTATTTGCGCTCAAAAATGTTGTGACTGTGCATAGAAACAGAGTAGGACAATGTGCAAACGTGAGGCATATGGAAAAACCTGTTTTGGATCTGTATGCCACGTAAGCTCCAAATGTGCAGAAAATTAGGTGCTTGCTTTGCATACAACTGTGCACCTAAAATCGACCTTGATTATTTACATGGGAACCCTCTGTATGCGACTCCAATGCCAAGACTTTGCCTTCCCTAGTCATTAGAACGGGAACGCCGATACAAGTTTTGCTTTTCTTCATGGCATGAAAAATAATTCATCCTTTTATTGGAAAGAAAACACAGATTTGTCAGAATCAGAACTGTTTTCTGGCGACAGCCCAGTTTGGATGAAACGTGCACTGGAAAAACGGCATCATCTCCAGGTTGCAGTTCTGGTCGGAGGGATACCACCCGTTGCTCAGAGGTCCGACTCTCCCCTAGAATGCAGAATATCCAGGTTAAACTTCATGCACCATTAAATGCCATTGTTAATACAATGTGGAGGATCTGACAGGAGAAATGGAGAGAGACCCACCACAGATTATTCAATTGCTTCTGGTGGAGGCATTGATATGGGAGGATGAAAGAGCAGTGCCCTGGCCTACGTCTCAGCTGACAGCCCTAATGACCACACTATTGATTATTCCGGTGTCTCACTCTCTCTTGGTGAATGGTTTTGGTTGCGTTCCAACAAGGGACGGGGACATTTTCTGATTGCAAAAAATTTTGCAGGACATGACAAACTGTTTCTCATTTGGCTTCCCTTTTCATTGCTTTATCCGTAGCTAACAATTTGGCCCATGGCTTAGAATCGGAGAAGTTTGCACCTACTGGGTCAAGAATCTGCATTTTCAGACTGTTATTATTAAGGTATTTATATCAGGAGCGTAGTATTTTAGAAGGGGGTAAGTGCATTTTTTCTATAATCAGCATTTTAAAAAGTCTATAAACATCCACTATGTTTGCCTAATGTACTAGAAAAGCTTCCAAAAGAGCTGTTCTTATCCAACTTGTCACCTCACACATCCTAAGAGGACGAATCTTTTTTCCCTCCACCCCTCGTCCGTTGTTAGTAAAATGAAGTCAACCGTTTACAGCTTTGGAGCGGCAAGGAGAAGTTAAAGAGTTTGTAATCCTTGGATTCCCGAGGAAATGTCGGCAGCTTTTTACTAGGCTCTTTTACATTCTCCCCGCACAACAACAATTTCAAACAGACAAAATCAGTTTAGGTTACATAAATTCAAAAGCCCCAGCCTGCTTCTGTTAAAATAGCATCTTGCATTTTGTTTAGGGTGTTGCAATGCCTCGTATAGCGTCTTGAATGTGCTCGCTTTTATGTTCTGTTGTATATCTCCCTGAGCTTCCTTTTGTTGAAGGAGCTCTAATGCAGAATTACACACAAAAAGCGGAAGTGCTTGGGTCTTTTATCACACGTTATGATGAAAGTGCGTTTCACGTTGGAGGCCCATCCCTGGGCATACCACTCTTATCATCCTCAGAGCAGGGAACAAATATAGACCCACGACCTGATGAAAAGGTGCTAGACATTTTGGATACTTTGGCTCTGGATCCAGATAGTCAACAACACCCCCTTTGCATTTGGGTCTGTGGTTCAACTCATTATTTGCAAGAAGCAAATCACGTGCAAAAATCCTATTCCGAGAGGCTTTGGATTTTCAGTCCTCCTGAAGTCACACGGGGTCTGTTTCAGGCCCAGATCCATTTATTCTTTTCTGTTGTTCCAAACATTTAGTGGTGTAAGGTGAAGCTTAATGATTCATCTCCCTCTTTGCATGGAGAACTCACTGAACTAGGAGTGGAAAGGCCTGAACATATGGGATGGACATGTGATGAAAACAGATTTTCCCACAGGACTTTGTGCTTTTGGACTAGACTGGCACTACCACAAGGACTGGTCACTTTAGACATGTAGGTTCAGAAGGGAAAGGGATGCCCAGAGACGGACACCAGGGTTAGGGTTATCCTGTGTAGGATGGCCCACTCCCTCTTTCCACGACAGCCTGTGGCATCCCCTCTGCAGAATGGCATTGGATTCTTGACTATAGGACCTACGTCAGTGTTGGCCATCAGTAAAGCCAACATGCAGCTGTTAAGATGCTTTAGCGTTTTGTGTGCAGGTGGTGGTGGGAGATGGGGACACCTCACAGTATGCCTCCAAATTAAGATTTAACCACAGAGAAAGAAAGAAAAAGAGAGAGAGGGTCAAGGGTGGTGGTGGCAGATAGCAGAAAACCACTAGCCATTGTCAAGTGAAATCAGGGGGAGTGGGGTAGACTTACGGAGAATTTAGACTTTCTGGGCCAAATTTTTGAGGCTCCACCAAGCTTTCATTGGTTCAAGACAAAAGAGGGAAGGAGAGAGAAAGGTGTCCCCAAATTACCTTTCTAGCCCTCTAGACCATTGGCCCAAGGCATAGTTTAAAGCAATGGAGGAACTGCTCTTCCCTTGCAGAAATGTAAGAGTCCAGTGTACTCTGGTCTCAACCTGTCCTACTACTTCACTGTCTCATCTTCGGGTGCCTGGAAGAAGTGGTGCAAAGAGTGGCACATTAGCTTTACCTCACCTGGAGGCCTGCTAATGCCAGAGACTCCCCAAGTCTCTAGTTGAAGGGACTTGTCATTATGCTGACAGCCCGAGGATGAGGTTTAAGACCTGGAGAAAGAGAGAGAGAGGGAGAAGCGAAGACTAGAAAACTGTTTGGTCAGCTACAGAAGTTAGCTGTGGCCTCTTTCTCTAATATTGCCACACCTTTGTGTGCCAGATGCTTTCTCCCGATGAATGGAGCCAAGCACTTTGAAAGCAATGAAGTACTGCTTATTACTTTGTATCAGTTCAGAGTTGGTCCTCTCAAGACGTGTCCTATCCTTAGATTACAAGCCATCAACTATCAACAAGTATGACAGCCTCGGAACAATATGTTATTGCTGTCTCTCATCGGTACCATCAAGTGGAGGTATCCCGTAGCAGCAGTAATGTTAAGTCATCATCTCATGGCTACAGAGCCTCATGGCCTTCTGCTGTTTGTAATTAAATGTGTATTAACCTCATTTTGACTACCAAGTGGTAATGTGCCTTGGGCATATAATATAATTATTTGTATTTTAGAAATCTCCACTGGGGTGGAGACTACTTGCAAAGAAAAAGAGGCGGTATTATAAGTCACTGGATCCCAATGACTTTTTTCGCTCCATGGGACACGAGGTCTGCTGTCGCGAGCTGCTGAGCATCTCATGACAGGCATGTGCCGTGTTGTAACCATCCAGCACCTTGCTAAACCGGCGCTAGTTTGTAAGTGCCACACGTGTCCAGAGCCAAGCCACACACTGCTACGGTTTGCCTCCTGCAGACACTGGCAGACTCCACTGTAGCCCCGTACCCAAATCAGGCTCCTGAGAGCAGTGTGTGAAGAAGTGCCGAGGGTGTAAAGAGGGGACGAGACTGACAAGTCTCAGTGACACAGCTCAGCGAAGTGTGTGCACATGCATATGAGCGGGGGGAGTGTAAGTAGGTGGGTGAGGATGGGTGGAGAGATGGTTCATTTAATGAGAAGCTCAGATTTGGGACCTTGCTCGCAAATGAACAAGTCCGTTTAATTAGGAGCAGGCAGTCCCATGTCTTATTATTTATATTTCCTCCCCAAGGTGACCTGGTTCTGCCTTTGCACTGCGTCTTCCTTGAGCAGAGTCTGGTAAAAGCCCCTGGCGTCCAGGATGCCCCGCTCACTTCCTTTACTCCAGGGGGGCGAGCCGAGCGTGAGCTGTGCAAGGTGCTGGCACTTTGCGTCATCGCCTCGTGTCAGAGTAATGCAGATGATGACTTTTCTTTGAGATGGAAAAACCAGCAGGA